GTAAGCCCTAAATTTGACAGGTAAGCCCAAGATTTGACAGATAAGCCCAAGATTTGATGAGTAAGCCCAAGATTTGACAGGTAAGCCCAAGATTTGATGAGTAAGCCCAAGATTTGACAGGTAAGCCCAAAATTTGATGGGTAAGCCCAAAACTTGATGAGTAAGCCCAAGATTTGACAGGTAAGCCCAAAATTTGATGGGTAAGCCCAAGATTTGACAGATAAGCCCAAGATTTGATGAGTAAGTCAACGATTCGACAGGTAAGCCCAAAATTTGATGGGTAAGCCTAAAACTTGATGAGTAAGCCCAAGATTTGACAGGTAAGCCCAAAATTTGATGGGTAAGCCCAAAACTTGATGAGTAAGCCCAAGGTTTGACAGGTAAGCCCAAGATTTGATGAGTAAGCCCAAGATTTGATGAGTAAGCCCAAAATTTGATGAGTAAGACCAAGATTTGACAGGTAAGCCCAAAATTTGATGTGTAAGCCCAAAACTTGATGAGTAAGCCCAAGGTTTGACAGGTAAGCCCAAGATTTGATGAGTAAGCCCAAAATTTGATGAGTAAGACCAAGATTTGACAGGTAAGCCCAAAATTTGATGGGTAAGCCCAAAACTTGATGAGTAAGCCCAAGGTTTGACAGGTAAGCCCAAGATTTGATGAGTAAGCCCAAGATTTGATGGGTAAGCGCAAGATTTGATGAGTAAGCCCAAGATTTGATGAGTAAGCCCAAGATTTGATGAGTAAGCCCAAGATTTGATGAGTAAGCCGAAGATTGATGTAAATCTCAAAGTGAACATATTGCTTTCAACCACAAACCACTTGCTTAGTTAATTCTGACCATACATTCACACAGCTCATCGATCTAAAAATATTTAAAATGGTTTGAATTGAATCCAGGGTGTTGTTGTTTATATAAAATATACCAGATATTTGTCAATACACTGTACTGAGAGGAACATTATGTACTTCATATAAGTAATGTGAGAACAAGGAAATAGTAACTGTTGAGAACAAAGAAACTAGTAAACAAATACCGTTAAAATCCTAATATGAACCGCGGTTTATAATATAATGTATCAATTCAAAAATTGAAGTCAAAAGCTCAAGTTTGGGGTGCGGTTTTTATTAGGTACATATTGCAAACACATGCACAAAACAAACAATACACCGTACAATCTCTTGAATGGGCGTCAGAGAAGAGTGAAAGGCCTTACTTTGGTTCTAAAATAGGTATCACGAAATGTTGAAAAATTACAGTCAATCAAATAATCTTCACATGATCAAAAAAATTACTCAGTACATTCAATGTAATATGCATTTATTTAACGGGAAGTATATCCTAACAGAAGTTTCAAATAAAAACAAAAACGAATGCATTGCTTAGTAGATCACTGTACGGTAGCGCAATCCGGCCATGCTGCGGTTCACAAGTGGATAACTTACTTGTTTTCGAAGTGTTGAAATTGGTGATTATTACTCAGTAGTGATTATAATAACGCATGAAAAATGAATTCGTTGAATTGTTAAAAGTAAAATTCAACTTAGTTTCATCGTATGTGAATGATTTCGGTCACATGTAAACGTTTGATGCGATACGATGTTCGCCATGTTTGTTGAATCCAGACAAGACTGTTTATTGACCGGATAGGTCAAGTTGCTAATTAACCAATCAAAATGCCGGATGGTGCCAACGTGTTCTAATTACCATAGCTCATTTAAATATAACAGTTCAGCAACCTCATGGTGAACACAATACGGAAGAGGTTTACCGATGATGTAGTGCGATTGTTTGGCTTCGATTTCCATGGGAAAACGAATTGTGTTTTTTTTTAAATCAAGAAATTAGTTGTTTTCGAAAGATAAACTGAGCATTGACAAAGAATTTAACACTTTTACGGTGATTACAGCTCATTGTCGAAAACTTCCGAAACACGGATGTATTCATGTAAAGTATTGACAAAGGTTGCTGCCACTACCAGAACAAAAGCAGTTGCACTGCTGGTCTGACATCTTATTACCGCTGAACAATAAATAGGTGTAAATATTTAGGCACTTTGTTAGAACAAATGAAGAGGATTGGAAACAATGCCGTTACGGTCTTGTTGAATTGGGGGTGCGGTCAGTAATAGGTACTTTTCATGTTTTCAATTTTTGTTAAGAATTCTTTAACCCGAAAGCCAGAATTGGGGATGCGGTTACTATTACGTATGCAGTTTATATCAGGATTTTAACGGTACTGCTTGAAACTAAGAAAGTGAAATAAAAGCTGAACAAAAAACATCCACTATCGAAACCTAGCGAACTATAGCAATGAGTCAAAAAATAGTATTACTGAAATAAGTTGATATTATCACTATACTTCAGTTAATTTAAGTACTGCTATTTGATACTGTATGTTGATTAATACATTCAATTATGGTTTATTTATGAATAAAATAATGATTCAGCTGTCAAGTTAATGTATAGATTATATATTCTTACGTATATTCCTGGACAATATCCCTCATAATGGACGCTACATCAGGTCTATGTTGAGGTGATAATGACCAGCACTTTCGTATAAGAGCGTACATCCACATAGGACAAGACGGTGGTCGTCCAGGAAACTTGCGCTGTTTTATACTTTCTAGGACCTGAGACACAGAAATGTTAACACGCAATAAGAAATAAATTTTTAACTCATACCCTCACTGACATGAAAGTACTAAGGCTACAAATGTTGTTACAAATGACAAGAGTTAATATTATAATCATAGAAACAAGTACAACCTATATGAGTTGTATTTAAACCATTTAACAGTTCCAGATAATTTTTTTTAGATTGAATTTGTAGATATTTTTGATAGTAGAGAATTTGAATATACCTTACTGTGTGTGACTGTACAGTAGGGTATCAATCTAAGCATTGGTGTCTCTTTGGCCGCATCATAATGTAGATATAGTTGCCATAGTACACATCCTAAACTGTAGACATCACTGGCTTTGGAGTACGCACCATAAGAAATCACTTCAGGTGCAGACCTAATATTAAAACCACATGATTTAAATCAGACTAAAAAAAAGATTGTTTCTTGTTCTGAGATACTGATATACAAAATGTAGCACAGATATTTATCATGCACAGAATTTTATTAATCTTTAGTACTGAAAATGACCACCATTTGGCCATCTTTAAATGGATCATGAAGTGAATGAGTTGTCATGTATCAACAGACTAGTACTGCTTAGTTTTTGGTTCAGTGGACTACTCACACAGTACCCTGGGTCAACAGATGGCCCCTAGTTCAACAGATTACTCATACTCCCTAGTTCAACAGACTACTCATATTCCCTAGTTCAACAGACTACTCATACTCCCTAGTTCGACAGCTAGACTACTCATACTCCCCAGTTCAACAGACTACCCATAATTACCTAGTTTAACAGACTACTCATACTCCCTACTTCAACAGAATACTCATACTTCCTAGTTCAACAGACTACTCATACTCCCTAG